GCCTCAGACTCCTCGGAGGCAAACCTGCAATCCCAAAGCTTTTGAGACAGACCCGGCCTTCACACTGACAAGGTTTCTCAAAGTTTCAATAGTGGAACGAATCCTGGCCTCATGCTCACAAGCTTGTGGGGAATCATCTTTCTGGGTGAATTATCATATTTCACCAACCTGAAATAAGGTGGTTGGGAGCTATTCCCCACATAAACCATCATTTGGGGTGAGGTCGTGTGAGGTCGTTATAATTCACCCAGATCTTTCAGGAATTGAACCAGCGATCCCAGGCTCGTCGCAGAAGTTGCAACGCGCAAACCGACTGACCTGAAGAAAACCTGCGCCCCTGATAACCAATTAAACCTTCTCTCCGTGGGTCGCGGTTTGCTGATGGCGGTTCTCCGCCCCGTTGCTTTGCAAAGCATGGAAAAAGCCAGAAACAATCAGCCTACCGCGCCATCTTAGCTTGATTGGATTTTGCGCCAGGGATCTTCATTTCAAGCTCCTGAACTAAGCCATCAATGTCAGTACATCGGTTGCTGTTGAGATGATTGGCATCCAAGAAACAAAGCTTCGCCAAGCTATGAATTGGCTATTTCCTTTGATGTTACATCATGTTTGCGCCAAGGATCTCATCCATCTGCGCGTGCCAGGTGCTTTTGCTTCTGTGTGTTCTTGTGTGTCAAACTAAGGAATCTGCCTGCCACCCCGCAAGCGGATACTCAAAAAAACCTCCATTCCAACGGGCTTCCCATTTTGACACACACGCACACCCCACATAGGGCGCAGCGTCAGTTTCTGTTGAAAGGCCGCATCGCTCACCAGCACTTATAAGGAATCATGGACATCAACCAAACGCGTTGATGCATGGCCATGGCAAGAGGATCTCAGGTTAAAACTATGTATATTGATATATATATATATATGTAGATTATTCGGTTAAAAGACAACACCGAAAGGAACATCCAACTTTCAGATGTTCCTTGTTTTGAGACACACCTATGTGTGGGTCGTAGTCTAAGTCGGAATTCTTACAGGAGGCAATCTGAGCAACTCAAGGTCTGAGCACCTGTACCCACATAGCTGACGCTTCTGTTCTCTGTACAGGATGGTGGGGTCAAATCCTGATGATAGTGTTTCCAAGTGATTTTGCAGATCCTTATGTAAAAAAAAAAAACAGACATGAAAGTTCAGCACCAAAACTTGCGTAAACGCACATTTTGACTCTGGCACTGTCACGGCACGCATGCAGTTGGTCGGAGGCGACTCTCAGAGGAAGTTGTACAGCAGCTCCTTGTATCGCGAGGCACAGCTTGCGCCAGAAATGATTGAAACCAAACTCGCTGGCTCAAAGGCATTGAGTAGGCAATCGTGTGGGCGATTTGGGGGCCTAAGATCCCACCAGGGCCCTTGGAATCAACAGCTCCTCTGATGGGCTGCCATGGCTAAAGTTTTTCTGACCAAACTTCTGGATAGAAGTGAAGCAAACCTAAGCCACAATGTCAGAGTCGGTTAACTGGACAACCGATTGTACAAACTCTCCAACCCTCTCTCCTTTCGTCTTGCGTAACCTGTGCCAGACCCTCCCAAGGCTCATGCCATTTACCGCTTAAACAGGGCTGGGCCAACTTCCTGCGTTGAGCTTGTCCAAACTGTTTTGTTCCTTGAACATCACCTCCTTTAGGTTGTTCTTCAAGGGCCAAGGACTGGTTTAAACAAATCTTGGCCTGGTCCTTCAGAAAGCCAGGATCAAGTCCCTCATCCTTGCATCTCTTTGAGAAGGGCAGCTTGAAATCAAACCAGCTTTCGGGTTGCGACTTTCCTTCCAGAAGGCACATGAAGGTTACCTCTGTCGGGCGCCATCTCGATGCGAGCCTCACAAAAAGCCGAACAACCAGAGGAATCCCTCTTCCAGCTTCTTTTCAGTGCCCGCGATTCATTCTTGGGTGCCTCATTGAAGCGCACCAAAACTACCGGGCTGTTCAAAATGCAGGGTTGGCCAATCCTAATCCATAATCCCTATAGCGGAGCTTGCGTAACCCAAAGCAAGGATTAAGGATTGCCTTTGAACAGCCCTGCTGGTTGGTTTCTTTTCCAAGGAAAGTCAAATATCGGACCCAGACGGCGCCCGTGGCAGGCCCGCGCCTGGCGCCGGCCTAGCGCAGCCGGTTAAGCGCAGATCCGTTGCACCCATCGACTATGGGTTGGTTTTAACAGTTCTTATAAAACAGCCAAATTAAGCCAATTAAAACAATTAAAACCATGCAGGTGGGGTGTGTTCACCATTACTCTAATCATCTCTAATCCCAAGTATGCCGGTAGGCTCACTTGCCTAAGACGGCCAATGTGGGGTTTAGACGCTGCTCATGTGAACTCCAGATTAATCTGGACAGTAGAGCTGAGAGCTAAACAAATATTCATACTTTTCTAGTAGACTCCTATGACTATAGCTAAAGGTTTAGTTTTAAAGTACCTCACCCTCCCATTCCAAATGGTTGCGGACTTTTAAATGCCCGTATAGTACCCAGAGGTGCTTCCTCTATTAGTAAAACAGTCCATTTTAGGGGGCTTCCTCCGACTAGGTTTCGAATCTCAAGTAATGCCAATTGCAGGAGCCCTAAGATACATCATGGACATGCCCCCATGATTCGGCTCACATGTTGGTCCACTGGTTTGCTCGGCCGTTTTGGTCCACTGATTCTGGATGTGTGGTCAACCTTCTCTAGCGCAAATTGACTGTTTCAGCGTCCGGTTGTGAGCAAAAGCATGGAAGTAGGTTAAGCCAGTGCGTGCTTGGAATCATAGCCACATAGAATCAACTGTTGACTGGTGACACCTAAACCAACACGACAAGTTGTATGCAACATTCATGCAAAGGGGTCCCAAGGCAAAGGCCTTGCTAATTTTCTGTGGCAACGGCATCCCCCCCTTCTCGTTTGAGAAGGCTTGCGCCGGGAGCAGTGTAAACTCAAAAGGTTGAACCTCACTTGCGGATGGAGTTCAGCTCCTATTGGATTCAGACTATCTGGACCTTCTGAACCTTTATGTCAGATCTTTCCTCTTCTTCTGGAAACTCGTACTTGACCGGTCCTGGGCCCCTTTTGGGCTGTGCCGCCGCAGGGTCTCCCCAAAAGGGTCATCACTTCAAAGATTCACAAGAGGGGTCTCATTTGGAGGGGTGCTGCTTTTGGGATAACCCCCTTATCCAACGGTTCATGGTCCGCGACCCGTCAACATCAGGTAATGCTCCAGGCGACGCGGACGACTCCCTTCTGCCCTGCTTGAGTTGAGAATCCCCATATGTTCAGGCTGATAGACACTGATCAGGGAAACCAACCAGAGAGGCCCCGATCATGAGAAAGTGATGTGTTTTGATTGACTCGTCCATTCAATGTTGCTGCGTTCAGACACACCACATTTCTGTAGGAGTCCAGCATGGCCCGGCAACACAAAGAGATCCTAGTCCGCTCAATTGAACCAACCCCCCCTGAAACGAGATGCTAGCAAACAATATGAATCCCGAGGAGCTTCATGAAGGTTCTACTAGCTATGCCTGGAAAACAAGCGCACTTATGTCACTTATGCATAACGTCTGCCAGCTGTGCTTCTGATCCTCAGCAAAGGATACATGATGAGAGGGTCAGTTCTGAGATCAAAAACAAAGCCCACATTTGCTCATGATTACAGTGCGTGTTTCGACCAAGGTGTAAGCTTGGCAAAAATCAATTTCCCCTCACACTCTCTCGGAAAGACACCAACACTCCCGAACACGTCATCAATGTTGTGTGCAAAGGTGAAGCATCGCTTGAAGATGCATGAATAACGTTCATAAAATCAGGCTGTCTAATGTTCCACCACGCAACTTAAGGGTGCTTTCAAACAAAGTCAAAACCCTAAATAGCTGAACGACCACAGATCTTTAGTTTCCCCTCCAAAACCAACAGTTGCCAATCTAAGAGCTCCGTCGTAAAGTATTACGGCCTCAAAGGGCCCCCTCCTTCCCGGAAAAGCTATCTCCGCTCTGCCTCGCGGGGATTCAACTACCTGGGCGCGAAGCGCTGGCCGGAGTTCAACTTGAGACCAAACGAAAGGGCAAGGCTCTTGTCACAAGTGACCTGGAGTTTCCCTCGCCATGCCAGCAACACGCCTTGGCATCGATACACCTTGTGAACGCGCAGAATGCATCACAGTGCCACCATCGGAAGAGGAAGCACTTGGAAAATCACTGCCCGAGTCAATGGCTGGGCGCAGCGTTGGGCACCCCCAGTGGATGTTGACAACACACAAACGCCACGGCGCCAGCGATTTTGATTCATTCCCACAACATGAAAACCTTGCGCGGCAACGCGCAGCAAGGAGCGCGTGCGAGGAAGCCTAAACCGTAGCCCCAACCCACCAATATATTCTTGTATTTTGGACAAACTGAGAAGTACCTAAAGCAAACTGCAAACTGTGACAAACTCAAGGAAAGCTTGCTTTCATTGATACAATGAGTTCCTGGCCCTTTCAGAAATGAACTTGTCAACCTCCCAAATTTGCATCTCGGATCCTTTTGATTCAGAGATTTTCCAGGAATTCCGAAGTCCAGTGAGTTTATAGGCTTGCCTATCACGCTACCTTGATCATTCTTACTGTTCGATTTCACATTACTCAGCTCAGAGCAATTATGCTGCCTTGCATGTCTACTTTCCCAAAACATCCCACCAAATGCGAGGTCATTCAGTCACTCACGTAAGCTACAAGCGTCGCGGCGACCCCTGGGTGTGCTCAACACACGAAATTGGTCCATAGAAAGCATCCTCTGTACTCATTTTCTCCAGCTTTCTTCAGGCGACCAGCATCGCTCCTTTCTTCATGCAACTTGTGCGCAATTGAATCGGAAACGGCCAGGTGCTGCCCCTACACGAGGTGCAGAAGGCAACTGCGCCAACCCGAGCAAGGCAGCTGATGTGCAGGCCACGCCACACGTCAGATTGAACCTTTCCTCCTGAAGCCAGTATCAATGCAACTCATTGCCTTCTCGGACTTGTGCCAGAAGGCTTGGTACACTTGGCACATGGTGTCTTCCATGGAGCGCGTCCATAGATGAGCCGAACCAGTGCGGCACCGAAGATGGGGACGCGAGACATACGCGCTGGACCGAGAATCGCCAAGATCAAAATGCAAGGTCCGAGGATGAAAATACTCACAGCAACGACATTGGCAATGATCTCTGGATGCAAAGTACTAGTCATTGCCTCTGCCGGCAGTATCAAGAACCACATTGCTTGAGATCGAACGGCAAAGGTCCAGCGATCGGGACACCAAATGGCATAGCAAAGCAACAGAAGTGACAAAAACAGGAACTCTAGGATTCCCAAGGCAAGCATGATGCATAGCCAATGTATCTGAAAAATATTGACCAACAAATACCAGTCTATGCAAACTGCACAGGGCTGAAGGAAGAATAAGGACATTCCCAGAATCATAAAGCTCCCACTCAGGGAGGTGGCGTCACCCAATGTCCCTGTGCGCAACATGGTGCTGCGCAGCTCGGGAGTTGAGATGTTCATGTGCATCAGCACTGCCACCGCCTCCTCAACCGCTTCCTCCTGTCCACTGTTCGTAAGCTCAGCGCAAATGCGCCGCTTATCCGCGTCATCGGAGCATTCAGCATCTGCCAGGTGCCCTGTGAAATTATTCCGGAGATTGGCTGCCTGTTGAGCACCCTCCTTCCCTTCCAAGCGGTCTGCTTCTAAGGCACCGGTACAGAAAAACAAGAAGACGGCCGCCAGCAGCTCGATCTCTGAGGGAGTGTTCAATCTGAGCCCCAAAACCACTCCGCAGGAAATTGCGATCAAATAGACGACGCAACGAGTGATGCATGGGAATCGGGAGTAGTGATTGCAAAGAAAGAGGTGCGCTATACCAAACAGCACTGTCAGGATCAAAGGTGGCAACACAAACTGTTCGGTCAACTCCTGAGACACCAGCGAACCCATCCACGTGCTTGCAGTAACACTTGCCAAATAGACGAAAGATACGCGAAGCACTTGCAGCCAAAAGGCGTGTTTCACAGTCTTTGCAGTAAGGATGAACTTGCCCTGAGTGTGTGCCAAAAAGGCCTCATAGACACACCAAATCCGGGTATAGATGCTGACCTTGGAATTCGGAATGGCGAGCACGTGCTTGGCTGCTTCCAAAGCCTTTGCGAAGGGGGATTCTGCCGGATCCTGGATGAGGTGGGATACATCCAAATTTTGAGGATTGGACAAGAAGCAAATGTAGGCCGCCTTTGCCCCATGGGGCCATGAACGCGTAGCTTTCTCCACAAACTCGAAGATGCCTTCTGCCCAGCAGTGTGTGATGAAAAGATCGCACTGCAAACCTTCCGGATGCGCAAGTAAAGCCCAGCTCACATTTCCAGCCGCTTGTGTCATTGGCTTGATATACTGCTCCACGACAGTATACATGGAAGGCCCGACGGTGCAGTCCTTGGTGGCTGCTTGTGCAAAACGTACAACTTGCTGATTAGCGGGAGCAAAAAAGCAAATTCCCCAAACAGTGAAAGGCACACAATTCCAAGCAACTAATGTTGACCCCGGATTTATAAACCCCTGTTTACTAATATGGGGGTGTTCCCTCCAAAAGTGATACATCCCCACTAAAACCAGGGACACCCCCATATGAATAAACAGCAGTTTATTAATCCGGGGTCAACATTAGCAGCCTGTTGGGCCAAGAGTCTGTGGGGTCAAAGAGATCCCTTTCTTGAGGCAGGATGTATCCATCTTGCACTGCACGCCATACCAAGCGCTGGAACTGCTTCAAGTCTTCCCGGCTCACACACCAGCGGTTCATAGGCACCTGCGAAGCGAAACGGAACTCCCGTTTGGCCGTGGGTCGAGAATTGGTTCCCAACATGGATCCCTGGTAAATGGAACCAAGGACGAAAACCTGCGGTCCCCTGGTGGTTCAATTTTGACCCAAACAAATATATTGGTTTCAAACCCTTGATGTCGGCCTGTCCCCAACTGCACTTTGCACTTTTTAGCTGGTTAAGCTTCGTTGGAAGCGGAACACTTTGCACTTTCCAGCTTCATTGTCAGATCCCTGAAGGAAGCAGACGAAGTGTTTATTGCATGTTGCGTTTCACATGTCTTGGAGTTTGTGGCTGAATTTTGGGCCCTCGATTAGAAGCTGGGTTCCACACAGTTGAGATGACTTGACGTCTTGAAAAAACAAACAACAACTCATTAAACCACAGAGACACATGCGCAAATAGATGTTGCATGCAAACTAAACATGCAATCGAGTGCAGGTCAATTTGAACATCTCACGAGGCTTAAAATGGTTCCAACCACGGAATGATGGAATGATGCAGCTGCCAGCAAAGGTCTCAAACTGCAAACACAGTTGGGATCGAGATCGATGAGGGTGCAAACTTGGCCATTGTCCGACCAAGGCCCTCGCGAGCTCGTGTGATCAATGTACTTCACAAGCGCTCGACCTTTGAAACGGAAGCCGCGCCACTGCTTGGCGCACAGCTTGCCAGAAGGCGCACAAAGAAAACTCTAAAGCCAAACAAATCATACCACGCCAGCGTTTCCCAAAGGCACACTGAGACTGAGAGCTGACAAAGTGCACTTCACGTACAGCGTTTGTGCTGCGAAGCTGCGAATTTCGGGCTGGAGCTGCCAAGGGTCACTTTGCATTCTGCAATTGTAAGTTGTGTTTTGTTCTGAGTTGGGCTACCGAAAAGCGCTTTGCATGCCGCACTTGTAGTAAACGCGTGCTATTCTTCAGATGCAGCTGCCAAGGCGCACTTTGCATGTTAAGATCGGTGTACAACTTCCCCACCAAAAAGGAAGCCACCCCTGATTGGTGCGGTCAATCCGAAGTTGACATAACTGCGTTTGCACTGGAGTGCGGTTTGCGCTGGAAATCTAGTACGGTGTGCAGTGGCACACTGATGGCACGATTTACACGCCGTGAAAAGAGACAATGGCCTACCCTGTGAAAGTTGTGCAACTGTAAGCTAATCAAGCCTAGCGCTGTAGCGCGAACGCAGCTTCAATGGCAGGCTCACGCAGCACTAATTGTCTGAGATGGGCGACGCGCGCAGGAAACATCATGTTGCATGTTTCACAGCCTGCACATCCTACCGTGACAACAAATCCACATGAAACTACCAGCACCGAATATAGAACACACAAATGCTAACCTGATCCGGAGGAGTGCTCAGTTGTCGCAATGCTCCTCGTGTTCTCATGAGTTTTTATTGGAATCACCATCCACTCCCGATGTCAAGGCGACGAAACAAGGCGCTTAAGATTAAGCTTTGTATCCCATCTCCCACAGCCTGTCGGTGCAAATGAGCACCATTTGGTCGCGGTGACTGTGCAGGGAAGAGCGCCAAATCTTCCGAATTCACCGATGCGATCCGCTGAAGGCCTAAATTGATCATCAGAGTCGTTAGAATAATTCCGACAAGACTTGCAGCCAATAGTACGCCCAGCACACGTTTAAAGATGCTGCGTCTACACCCATCTGCTGCCTCGCCTGGACAACAAGTCCAGTAGATATTCAAAATATGTGCCTTCGTCATCATTGGAACATAGCCTTCAGTGCACTCACAACTCACAGAAATGGAGGGAGTAAAGCAGTAGCCCAGCTGACCACCACTCAAGCAGAGGTCGTCGCGTTGTCCTTCACAAGCTTTGGCCTCAAAACCCTCGGCCGTGAAAAGGACTAGGAAGTGTAGACCGAAACGGTGCATGACGCCATGGCGTCCGAGGGCCATAGTGCTCCAAATTCAGAATCTTGTTCCTTGAGGCCAAGCAACCGTCGCATTTTGTTTGTCACCAGCATGAAGAACACATATCATCCCACAAAAGAACTTCGCACACTGGACAAGTCAGATGGCTCCGAACATATGATGTGCATGTGTCAATGAATTGAATGGTCCGGAAGTCCAGGCCACAGATTGCAAGACTCATTTGCCTGGTGCCTTGAACCATTTCGGCAAGCATTGCCTGAATGTTAGCGAGCAATTTCACTTGGTGAACCCATGAGAGGGCTTCCAACGCTTTGCATGTTTTGCGGCTAATGTCTGACCGTGCAGGAGCCTTGCCGCATTCACACCGAACCCTACCTCATCTGCATCCCAGCTCTAGATTTGAGCCTGGAGCCCAATTTCCAGCACAAACCGCCTGTGAGGCTGCTCCCAAGACACTTATGCAAGGATACGATCCTCATTCCTGAAACAAGAAATCTGGCTCACTTTTGAACTTCAGTGCTCACTTTAGTCAGCCTAGGCCTAGTAAGTTTCCATACATGCCCACTTTTGATCTCATCCCACCCAGATCGAGGTCACTTACGTGAGTTTGGTTCAAGGGGGCAATGCTGTCAGTGACCTACCTACTCCTCCCGAAGCAGCCGCACAGGCCACTTAATCACCATGTCAGCGTGAACACGACAGGAGTTGCATCATTTGGTTGGGGCGAAATGACTGTCAAGCCGCACAAGACATGGCGCCAGCCGAAATTGGGCTACCTCCGTGAAGCATTGTATACCCGGAAAGCTGGGTGAAATAACTAGAGTCTAGCCACTAAATGGCAACACGTCTCCCTAAGCTGCAATGACTCACTGCGCCCCATGAAGCCCTTTGGGCCGCCGGGCAAGCGGAAGCATTGCCTGGACGGATGCAACCATGGCCAATACCAGAGTTGGTGCCGCTGCGGTTTCACAAAGCTGAAGGCAATCCCTTTCCTTAGCCCACGGAATAGACATGTGTATTTGCATGTATGCAGTATGTGTGCACGTATTGGTACGTAAGGAAACAAAAACGAAGCAACCTCTCAAGCACACACCTAAACCATAGAATCTTGCTTGCAAACTTTGAACTTGAAGCCTTCCCATCCAAACAACCTGAAACCCTGCAACGCTAAAACTCTAACGCCCTAAAAACCCGAGACCCTAACGCAATAAACCCCTATCTGTAATATATGTCAAGTCTTCGCCAGCATCTGTACTCCCATCACAACAGACGTGTAAATTGTGTCTCCAAAAACATCCGGCTGACATTCAAAGTACGAGTCAATTGGCGAACACCTGAAGCCTCAAGGGTCTCTCATTTGATTTCCGCTGCTGTCTTCGCACGCATATTTGCCTTTGCCCACTACTCCCCAACGCGTAGGTTCGCCGAAATGAAAACAAATCCGGCTAACGCCCAAGCTGGCACTCAAAATCGAGAAGCAACACTGACCTAAACCTGAAAGAGTGAACACCTGGAAGCCGTTCGCCTTTGTTGAATTGTGTGATTTGCCAGCATTTCTGTCTTCACTCGCTGTTGGTTGTCGGGGGGTTGTCGTCTGTATATAGCAGCTAGAAGGCCGCAATTCAATTGGAATCTATTTCTGCCTTTCCTTCTATGCTTCAGCTGTTGCCTCAAATTAGGACCCCTGACTGACGCAACAATGCATATCTATGATACTTTTTTGTATATATATATATATACATATTACATAACACATATGTGTATATATATACATGCATTGGTATGTTATGTGTTGCGTGCTCCCAAACCCATTCCGCCATGGCATTTGCAAAACTGGTCGGTACACCCAGCTTAAGTCAACCGAGCTAAGTCTGGCCCAATGAGGTGACGTGTGAGACCGGTCGTATTTTCCTTCGAGCACCATGTCAGTGGACACCAGCCTAGTCATACCCTCAAACACGTTGCCACGACTAGGCCAAGCGGGAAAAAAAGGAAGCAAAAAGCCAAAACTTGCTGGATGTTTGTGAGCAAATCAAAGAAACCCTAAAGCTCGAAAGGTCGAAAGGGCAAACACAGAAACTGGATCTGCCCGCTTCCAGGTCTCCAACTTCCTGCGACCATATGGATGTTGAGGTCCTGCCTCGCCGGAGCGGAGGTGTCGCCTGAAGGCAAATGACATGGACCGGAGAAAAACGGCTACCTTGGTTGCAACCTCATGGGGGCATCCTCATGGCCCTCCTTCCAAACATGCAAGTGGACCCGCTCTTCCTTCATGTTTCTGCCAAGAAGCCAGCTTCAGCTTCATCCAATGAGAAAGCTAGCATGTGCATGTATGGATGAGTATATGTATATGCACATACATAGTCTGGCCTTTTTGGTGTGGGCAACTTGCCCAATGTCAACACCATCACAGTAGATCGTGATGCATCTTCATCGCCCGGTGCCACTTACTGCACAATCGCTTTGGAAGCCTCGAGGATTTTTCCCCACAGCAAGCAGGGTTTAAAGTGAGCACTTGCCACAGAGACCGGATCCACACATTCGGGAAAAACCAATGTGAAGCACGGATTTGCTCAAAGGGGCCCGAGTCCGTTGCTTCAAAGGTCAGGTCGCGCATATCTCCAGGCAAGCTTTAAACTGGACTTCCTTCGCCCATTTCTCGCTTTCCTTTGTTTTCCTCCCAATGCCGACACTATTTGAAACCATTGCCGACTTCAAGGCATGCCCGAATTCATGTCTCTCAAAATGCATCCTCTTTAGATACTTTGGATGGGAAATTAAAGGGACCCTAAACCCAGGGTTCGCTGATTAGGAGACAACCCAGGAAACCACCCTCGCCGGCCGCAAAGGGGCCGCAACTTACGTTGCAAAACTGTCAGAATGCCTCTGACAACTGCTAAGATCACCCCGCTTCCGCGCTTGATCTAGCTCGGGCATAGCTGCAAGTCCGGCTTTCGCAGCTTTCAGGTCTTCAAATTGCCTACATCAAATGCTAATCTGAAGTTCGACATTCAGAAACCCGTAATGCCAGTATCCCTAAACGCAGCAGGTAAAACCACCCAAAGGAAGAAAATTGCTCCTT